GAAGGACGGGGTGACCTTGGACCTTGCTCGGGAGCACTACACCGTCACTGAGGGGAAGCTGCGAGTGGGGGTGGTGCGACGCAGTGACTCAGGGCTCTATGTCTGTGTGGCAGCCAATGCAGCGGGCCAGAGGGAGAGCCGGGGCGCCCACGTCGCTGTCCTGGGTAAGCCAAGGGCCCACAGGGAGTGGTGGATCCATCTCCTGGGGCTATGATTCCTCCACATTCTCTCCGCAGAGAAGCCCACCATCGTGCAGCGCCCAAGTGACACAGTGGCGGTGTCTGGCAGCGCTGTGCATCTGAGCTGCAGGGCCCAAGGGGACCCGGCACCCCGTGTGCAGTGGCACAAGGAGCGGGGGGACCTGCCCCAGGGCAGGTAGGTGGTGGCAGGGTGGAGGTGTCCCATTCCCAGGGTGGGGCGACAGTGGGGCTGACGGAGAGGTGGTGCCCTGCAGGCATGAGGTGGACCAGGAGCACACGTTGCACCTCTACGCTGTGACAACTGCTGACACTGGCACCTATGTCTGCACGGCGCAGAGCCAGCTGGGCACCGCCACCGCCACCGCCCGCCTCCGAGTGCAGGGTCAGTGCTTGGACCTCCATGGCCTCCAGCCCAGTGCTACCCAGGGCCATCGGGGGCACCACGCAACAGAAGACATCCAACAGGGTCCATTTAATGGGGTTCATCCAAGGGGTCCATGCCGGGAGGTCATCCACGGGGAGTTTATCCAAGGGGAGGTCCATCCGAGAGGTGTCCATCAAAGGGTGTTTTTCCAAAGGGGTCCATCCAGGAGGGGTCCATTCAGGGGATCCATTTGATTGGGTTGATCCAAGGTGACATCAGTGCCTCCAGACATGAGTACCTGAGCAGGCACTGGGTGACCTTGCTTCTACCTGGTGCTGCTGTTAGCCTCCCTCTGCCCCACAGAGCGGCTGCCAACGGGCTGGCGGGACCCTGCACCACAGGACCTACTGGCCGTGAGGCTGCACCTGGAGAATGGCACCGTGCTGCCCACTGCGGCTGTCTGGCTCCACTGGCGGGTTGGTGTGATGCCGGGAGGTCCCCACCAGAGGGGAGTCCATCAAAAAGGTTCTATCCAAGAGAGGTCCATCAAAGGGACCAAGTGGGTCCAGCCAAGAGGGTCCTATCCAAGAGGGGTCCATCAAAGGGTGTCTATCCAAGGAGGTCTGTCCAAGGAGGTTATCCATGGGGAGTCTATCCAGAGGGGGGTCAGTCCAAGAGGGATCAATTCAAGAGAGATCCATCCAAGAGGTCATCCATGGGGAGTCTATCCAAAAGGGATCCATCCGAGGGCATCCATCCAAGGAGGTCTATCCAAGAGGACAGGACAGGGAGATGACACTGAAGCTACATCCTCTGTCCCATCTGCATCCCACCATGCCTCTTCATCCTTCCCATTCCTTCCAGATGGTGACAGCAGTGCCAGCACCAGAAGGCTACACGGTGCTGTACCGCCTGCTCCCTGCCAGCACCTGGGTCCAACATGACGCAGGCAAGGAGCTCAGCACCATCATCCCCACCCTCCGCAGGGGCCACCAGTATGAGTTCAAGGTCCGACCCTATGGTGGAGGGACCCAGGGCTTGGACAGCAACATCAGGAACCTCTGGATACCCGAGAAAGGTGTGTTGGGAGGGAGGTGCTTCCAGGGATGAAGGATGTGGGGTTGCTTGGGGGGTCTTGGGGATCTCAGCATATCTGTCCTGACAGTGCCGAGCGCAGCGCCCCAGCACATCACCTTGGGCCGGGCTGAGAAGGGGAATGGCACCGTGGTTGTGAGCTGGGAGCCACCACCTCCTGACACCCACAACGGCATCATTCGGGGCTACAAGGTTTGGGGTGATGGGGCAGGAGGGGGCTGGAGGGCTTCTGGCTGAAGAGGTTCCACCCAAGCGGTCTGTATGAGGAAGGGGGTCATCCAATCAGATCTAAGCCAAGGAAGTGCATCCAAGGGGTTTCAACACAGGGCACAAGGGAGCCATCTGAGGGGTGTCCACCCAAGGATATCCATGTAAAGGGGTCCATCTAAGGTAGATCCATCAGTGGGGTTCCATCTAAGGGAGTCCATTCAAGAGATGTTCATCCAGGGGGATACGTTCAAAGGACTCTATCAATGGGGATATCAAACTCAGGAGGGACCCATCAATGGGGATCCGTCATGGGGGTCCATAAAGGTTGGGTCCATCTAAGGGGGAGGTCATCCAAGCGGGTCTATGCAAAGGGGTCCATCCTGTTTGGATCCATCAGTGGAGGTCCATCACGGGGACTCATCTACGAGGGCCCATCCAGGACAACCCATCCAAGGAGTGCTCATCCAAGGTGGATTTACCAATGGGAGTCCACCAAGGGGACTCATTTAAGGGGGCTCATCATTGGTGCTTGCCAGGTCTGGTCGCTGGGCGAGAGCTGGCAGCGCCCCACCAACAGGACTGTAGATGGAGGTACCCATCATCTGGAAGCCCCTCTCCCTACGTCTGGGGCTGAATTCTGTGTCCAGGTGGCAGCTTTCAACAGTGCAGGGCTGGGGGTCCCCAGCAATGCCACCTGCAGCCTTCTGGGTAGGGGTCCGGGAAGAAGACAAGGGGACCAGGGGGATGACAGGGGTGGCAGAGGGTGTGACCCCAGCGGGTCCCTTTCAGGGCAGCCAGTGGGAAGCAGTGGGGTGGTGCAGGTGCTGCAGCAGCCCGCCGTCATTGCGGCCACCAGCTCCTTGCTCTGGGTGGCCTTGGTGGTCCTTCTTCTCCTCCTCTGCCAGCGCCGCGCCCGGGACAACGCCACGCACCATGGGTGAGCAGCTGTGGGGCAGGGAGGCACGGGACATCCCAGGTGTGCTGGAGGGGGGTGGGACCCCCTGATGGCAGCCCTTGCCCCCCCAGGCTGGTGGCCGATGACTCGCAGTGGCTTGGTGGCCCCTGGAATCCAGGCTGTGCCCCCCGGAACCTCAGCAGCAGCAGCAGCCTCAGCAGTCGGCTCCTGGGCAGTGAGGGCAAGGATCCCCACCCCTCCTGTGAGCACCCCAAGTGGGCTGGGACCCTCCCAGAGCCATGGAATCCCCACCCAGAGCCATGGGACCCTCTCAGACACTCGTGGGAACCCCACCGCTCCTGCGAGCCATGGAAACCCCACCCAGAGCCATGAGACCCTCCCAGAGCCCCATGGGATGCCCCACCCCTCCTGCGAGCCTCCCCAGCGGGGCTGGGGCTTCCTCAAACGCATGGGACCCCTATCCTTTTTTGTGAGCATCCTGGTGGGCTGGGAATCCCCCAGGGCCTTATGACCCTCCACACCTCCTGTGAGTCATGGAACACTCAGAGCCATGGGACCCTCGGAGCCATGGGAAACCCACCCCTCATGTGAGCCCCCCCGGGGATCTGGAACCCTACTAAAGTCCCATGGGACCCTCACCTCTCCTGTGAGCCCCCCTGAGACATGGTACCCCCACCCACAGCCATGGGAAGTCCCCCAGAACCATGGGACACCCTCAGTGCCATAGGAGCCCCAACCTGCTGCCCCATTGCTGTGGGCACCTCCCTGTAGGGACCTGGGGACAGATGGAGCCAGGGACAGAGGGGACAGGGAACACCCAGCTCAGCACCCATGGGCACCCCCACCTCTTTCTCCCCCTCAGCCCTGTCCTTGGAGCGGCCGAGCCTGTACCCCCCCACGCCCCCCGCCCGCAGCAGCCTCCGTGGGGGTCATATGGCCCCCCTTGGGGACACAGGGTGCCTCACAGGGGGACACCCCGGGGTGTGCACCTCCCCCAGCACCCCCACCTTGGCACCTTGGGAGTGTGGCCGCAAGAGAGGTGGGTACAGCGGATGCGGGACATGGGCGTCATAGGGGACACAAGGGGACATGGAGGATGGGGGGGGACATGGGGGATATGGGGACACACAGAGGCGTGGAACAAGGGGGATTTGAGAATCACACCAGGACACAGGGGACATGGGGGACAGCAGAGGAACATGAGGGGCATCGGGGAACACAAGCGGAGGTGGAGGGACATGGGAGGACATGAGGATGTGGGGGACAGCAGAAGGACCTGGGGACACAGGGGACACCAGGGAGACATGAGGGGACACACAGGAGACATGGGGACAGCAGGGAGGTGGCTCATGTCTCCATGTCCCCTGCCCCATGCAGAGCTGCACCCTGTGCACAGCACACCGGTGCTGTCAAGTGGACCTGGCCAGGTCCCTGTCACCAGGAGAGGAGGCGAGTGGGAAACAGATTTGAGGCTGGTGGCTGGGTGGTCTCAGCCAAGGGGACACGATGGTGACACTGGAGGAGACCCATGGCAGCTGCCAGCCTTCAGCTCCCCAAAAGCACAGTGGGGCAGCATCTCAGTGGCCTCACCAGTGACATACCCCCAGCCACCCCCTGTCTGGCACCCGCCTGTCACCCGGTGAGTCTGAGTGTCTCCAGCCTGGGGATACAGGTGGGTGACCCCCCCCACCCTGACCCTGTGCTGCAAAAGCCACCATGAACCTTCCACCCACAGGTCCCCAGCCACTGTGTGCCACAGGGACATGTTCCTGGTCACTGGGTGCCCCAAGGACATATCCCTGGTCACCAGGCACCCCAAGGACATGTCCCTGGTCACTGGGCACCCTAAGGACATGTGCTCAGTCGTGGGGATCTGCAGGGATATCTCCCCAGTCACTGGGCATCCCAAGGACATGTCCCTGGTCACTAGACACTCCAAGAAAGTGTCCTTGGTCACTGGAATCCCCAGGGACATGTCCCCAGTCACCAGGTGCCCCAAGGACATGCCCTCAGTCACTGGGATACCCAGGGACACATCTCCAGCCATCCAGTGCCCCATGGACCCATCACTGTTCACTGAGAGCCCCAGGGACCCATCAACAGACACCAGGCACCAGAAGGACACAATCTCAGCCACCAGGCACCCTGAGGACACGTCCCCGGTCACCAGGCACCCCGAGATGGTCACAGTCTCTGGGCACCCCAGGGACATGTCCCCAGTAACCAGGAGCCCTGAGGAGATGTCCCCAGTTCCCAGGCACCACAGGGACATGTCCTTGGTCACCAGGCACCCTGAGATGTACCCAGTCCCTGGGCACCACGGGGACACATTCCTGGGCAGCAGATACCCTAAAGATGTGTCCCCAGCCACCAGGCACTCCACGGACCCACCACCAGTGACCAAGCTCCAGAAGGATGTGTCACTGGCCACCAGGCACCCCGAGGACACAACCCCAGTCAGTGGGCATCCAAGGGACATGTCGCCAGTCACCAGGCTCCCCAAGGAGAAGTCCCCAACCACTGGGCACTGCAGGGACAAGTTCCTGGCTACCAGGTACCACACGGATATGTCCATAGCCACCAGTTACCCTAGGGACACATCAGTGGTGACCAGGCATGTTCCTGTCTAGCAGGTACCCTGAGGACATGTCACTGGTTGCCAGGTATCCCAAGGACACATCCTCTGTCACCAGGCACCCTGAAAAGATGTCCCCAGTCTCTGGCCACTGCAAGGACACATTTTTGGGCAGCAGGTACCCCAAGGGACATGTCCCTGTCCACCAGGCACCCCAGGGATCCATTACTGGTGACCCAGCTCCCATGGGACATGTCCCTGGCCCCCAGGTACGCCGAGGACACAAGAACCAGGTCCTGGCAGGACAGTTCCCCACTCCCTGGCCGTCTCTCACCATCGCTCAGCGACAGGGTCCTCACACCACAGCAGGTGGCTGAGGATCTGGAGGTGGACAAAGCCATCATCTGCCCCAAATCTGTTCCATCACCCTTGGTGGCCAAAGTCCCTGCCGTGTCACCCTGCAGCCCCCCAGGACCACGGTCCTTCTCACCACCACACACCTACGGCTACATCTACGGACCAGCAGCCTCTGAGCTGGGTGAGGGGGAGGAAGAGGAAGAGGAGGAGGAAGAGCAGCGAGGGACAAGGGGCTCTCCGGGGGGATCCCTGCTCAACGGCTGGGGGTCTGTCTCGGAGGACAACTTGGCCAGCGCTCGCTGCAGCTTGGTGAGCTCCTGTGATGGCTCCTTCCTCCTGGATGCCAGCTTTGCCCGGGCGCTGGCTGTGGCCGTCGATGGTCTTTGCTTCAGCCTCGAGGACACCGATGGGAGCTACGGGGGTAAGCAATGGGTCCCCAGACCCTTCTCTCTGACCCCCAGCATAGTCACCACTGCAGCAAAGGTGGCCCCATCATGACCCCATGGTGATGCCACCAGCTCCTGCCTTCTCCCCAGCAGGTCCCTCACCACCGCTGTCACCCTTGGAGAGGATCTTCTCACCTGATGTCCTTATCCCCACCTGGGACTGGGGGACAGTTCTGGAGGGACCACCACAGGGTGAGCAATGCCCCAAAGCTGGGGTGATGGGCACAGGGGTGTCATTCATGGCTGGAATATGTCCTCTTTGTTTTCCAGGTGGCTGCACAACTGGGAGCAGCAGCCCCTGGATCAGGGCAGGTGATGAGCTGAGGACAGGGGGGACAAGAGCATGGCAGTCCCCATGGTGTGGGACACAGCAAGGCCAGAGTCCCCTTAGCTCAGCAAAACTCCGGCTTTATTAAGTGGTTCCCCCAAAAGGGGCAAAAGCCACCCAAAAGTGTGGGTGGCACCAAGGTGGAGGGGATGTCTCTCCTTCTCCAGCATCCTTGCCCTCCCCAAGTGTCTACATCCTTCCTCAGTGTCCCCACCCCTCCCCAAATTCCTCATCCCTCCCCAGCATCCTCATCCTCGTCAAGTGTCCTTGTCCCATCCAAGTGTCCTTATCCCTCCCTGGTGTCCTTCCCCTTCCCCAGCATCCTTGTCCTTGAACCATCCTCACCTGGCCCAAGCACCCTTGTTCCATCCCAAGTGTCTTTGTCCTTCCCCAGGGTCAGTGTCCTCCCAACTGTCCTCATCCCCATTGACAATTCTCATTGCTTCTGACTGTCTTTGTTCCTCCTGACCACCTGTGTCCTTTCTCAATGTCCTTGTCCCATCTCGACCATCCTAGGCTCTCCCAGATGTCTCCATTCCATCCCTCATAAGCCTCCTTGTCCTTCCTGAATGGCCTTGTGCCCTCTCCAATTGTCCTTGTCCCTCCTAACCATCCTCATCCCCTGGGTCTTTCTTCCTTCCTGGCATCCATGTCTCTCCCAACTGTCCTTGTCCCCAAGGTCCTCAGCCCTCATGAGCTTCCTTGTCCCTCCCAACTGTCCTTGTACCCAGAGTCCTCAGCCCTCCTGAGCATCATTGTCCCTCTGGAGCATCCTCATCCCTCCCAAGCATCCTTGCCCATCCTGACTATCCTCATCCCACCCCAAGTATCCTTGTCCCCCCTCACACTGTCACCCACCAGCTGCTGGCTCTGTGCCCCTGGTGCCACTCAGAAATAAAAGATCACCCCCCGTGTCCCAATTCCCGCGTCCCCAAACCCTGTCCCCCTCCTTGCCCTGCACTTCATCACTTGTCCTGTGTGGGGCAGGTTGCAGGTGGCCCCGGGCGGTGGCGGTGGCTGCGGTCCCCTGTGGTCCTGCTGCACCCTGAGCCATGGCCACGGGAGCTGGTGGAGCCTCTGGATGAGATGCTGCCAGCGGTGGAGCCACCACCAGATGCTTGACCCCAGGGCTGGCCTGAGGTTTTGCCGTAGGGGATGAGCTCATCTGCGAGAGAGGGGACACACTGGGGGTTGGGGACTCCCCTGGGGCTTCAGGCACATGGCTGCTGGCTCTGTCTTACCTGGGGTGGCCTGGTGCTGGGCCCTGCTGGGCTCTGGCAAGGTGCCAGGGGTCTGGCCCGGTGGTGGCACAGGGGGAGGTGGCAGCTCTGCAGCGGAGGGGGGAAAAGCTGAGTGCCCCCTCCACAATGTCACCCTTCCCTTGATCCCTCTAGCCCCCCCAGCTTACCTCCTGGTGGCTTTTCCTGACGGTAGCGGCTGCATTTGGGCTTCAGGCGACTTTTTGGGGTGTCCCCACGGGTTGTCCCTGGGGGGTGATGGCAGTGTCAGCCCTCCCCCCCAGCTGGTGAGTGTCCCCCCACCCCTTTAAAAGGGTGACCTGGGGCTCACCTGTGCCCAGTGGGCAGCGGGCTCGGGGTGGAGGGGTCTCAACAGTGTCCTGATTGGAGGTTCCAGCACTCCGGGGGGGGCTCCTGGGAAAGAGGGGTGTGAAATGGAGGGTGGGGGTGCTGAATGACAACAGCACAGCTGGATCACAGCTGGATGAGTGCATCGAAGCCTCTGGATGCAGGGCCATGGCTGCATCACAGCCGCATGGCCATGCTTGTGGTGACATAGATAGGTGACTCTGGAAGGAGACATCTGGATGATGGGTCCACAGTTGGAGCACAGCTGCATGGCACAGCTGGAGCACAGTTGGATGATAGATGCTCAGCCAAATTGCAAGCATGGCATGGCTGGGTTGCAGCTGCACAGATGGTTTGACTACATAGCTGGATTGCAACCACACGGCTGGATCACAACAGAGCTGGGTCTCAGCTACACAGCTGGATCACAGCACAGCTTGGTTACATCTACACAGCTGGATTCAGTGTAGCTGCGTTCCACAGCTGGATTGCCGTGGTGTGCCAGAGCCATGATGGCATCCTTGGGTGGTGGCAGAGCTGAGCCACCACATCACAGCTGGATGGCAGCATCGCAGCCAGATGGTGACAGCACAGCCACATCGCCATTGTCACGCCACAGCCAGCCCATAGCATAACAGATGGGACATGACAGCACAGCCAGAGCACAGCTGGATAGCCCTGGTGACAACATGGATGGGTCATGCAGGGACATCTGGACCATTGTGGGACATCTAGACCTTAATGGCATCGCTGGACCATGATGGCACAGCAGGGCTGGATCATGACAACATGGCTGGATAGGACAGTCAGACCCCAGTGGGACATCTGGACCCTGATGACACAGATGGACCAAGCAAGGCCCATCTCCTACCAGGGCAGGCGGGAGCTCTGGAAGTCATGGAGGCAGGAGGTGTCCTCAGTGGTGTGGGCCGATGGTGTCAGCATGGCCATGGATCGGGAGGAGGCAGCAGGCGAGGGTGTGGCGGTGGCACAGGGGATGTCCTCACCAGGGCACCACTCCTCTGTCCCCAACCTGCAAGGTGGAGGCCAGTGGGATAGACGCTGGGGCTAGCAACCCCCAGCCCCCATGACCCCCCACACTCACCCTCTAGCTGCCTCTTCCTCTTCATCCTCCTCCTGGGCACAGTGGCTGAGCTCACTGTCTGAAGGTGGTGGGGGCAGCAGCTCCGTCCAACTCACCACTGGTGGCTTCACCTCCATCCAACTCACTGCTGGTGGCTTCACCTCTGTCCAAGTTACCACTGGTGGCTTTACTGTCTTCCCTAGCTTTGTCCCCTTGGCCCCTGTGGCACCAAAGGATGCTGGAAGGGGTCTGCACCACTGGTACCCATGTCTCCCCTCCTCAACCCATCCCACCACCCTACCATGCTCAACCCGTCGGTGGGGGGCTGGGGCATCCATGGGTTGGGGACCCCCCCCGGGGTAGGGGGTCCCATGCTGCGAGAAGGGGCGGGGGAGGGTGCCGAGCTCCTCATCCGCCACCTCAAGTGTGCCGTAAACCAGCCCCTCGCCAGCCCCGGCCCCAAATGGCTCCATCTGGGCAATGTAACGGGTGATGCCAGCATCTGCAGAAGGTCACCGGTACCGTCAGCCATGACCTCTCCCCAGTCCAAGCCACCCATCCTCCCCACAGAGCCCTCACCATTGTAGTATCTGTCAGTGGTCCCCAAGCTACTGGCCACACCGCTGCACCAGGCATCTGCCAGCCATGGGTAACCACCAGCTACGGTCCTGCATGGAGATGGGATGATGGGATGTGGGCACAGAAGGTCCCAGGGTGGAGAGGGTGGACACTGGGGGTGTCACGGGCCGGTATCGGGGCCATTTTGTTTAGTCTTATGTGGGGGAAGAGATGGACCGTTCCCCACAGGGTGGTTACCTGGGGCTGCCACATGCTGGAGTTGGGAAAGTGACTGCAGAAAGGGGTGGGGGCGAGGGGCAGCAGCGAGTCCCAGCGGAGCCTCTAGGCTCACCAGCAGGCGTGTAGGCAAAGGATGCTGCGAAGAGAGAGACGGTAGGTGCTGGTGGGTGCCAGGTGGGGGTCCTGAGGGTGGCACCCACCCCCTTCCCGTACCAGTGAAGTGGCTCAGCTCCTTCTTCCTGCGCCGGCGGCTGTAGAGCCACATGGCCAAGGCTGCCAGGATGAGCCAGCCTGCGCTGCCGACACCCGCAATGAAGGCTGGGCGACGTGCCACCTCAGCCAAGCGCTGGGCCACGCTGCTGCCACCTGCCAGCCCCACATCCTGCTCCACTGGGGGGACTGCAAGTGACACAGGGGGGAAAACACACAGAGGAGCTGTCCCCCGCAGTGGGGTGACCCTGACACCTCACACCTATAGCCACAGCCACGTGGAACTCACCAACAAGGATAGGGATGGGGGCACTGCGGGTGCCCACACCAGCACTGGTGGCAGCGGCGACTTGGGCATGGTAAGGGACACCGGGGATGAGTCCCTGCAGCACTGTCACCAGTACTGTCCCCTCCACGCTCTGGTTGATGTGGAAGCGGCTCTCATTGCCCAAGCACCAGATCTGAGGGAGGGGACAGGATGGGGACACCCATGGGGACACCATGATGTAGTGCCATGGGGGGACAAGAGGGTACATCATGCTCTTACCCGGTAGTCACGGATGATGCCGTTCTGCTCAGCTGGTGGTGGCGGCTCCCACGAAATTCGGGCACTGGGGGCATTTCC